ACCTCCAGCAATAGTCACTCCGTTCTGCTTCCATGTAGCATTAGCAGGAATATTAACTAGAAGAGAAAACGTATAAGAATAAAAGGAGATCTTTCTCTCTCTCTCGGGTATCGAGTAAAATTCTTTGAGTAGATCATTCTTTCTTTTTTTTGCTAGGAATTCCTCAGAATAAGTTTTTTCTCTACCGGAAGATATAGAAATCTAATGCTCTTTTTTTTGTTGTTTGCAATTATATACACTGTAAACTGGAAAATACATTATAGTGTATTAGTGAAAGATATTCTAGGAAATATGATATTCAATAAGATAGAAATTGGAAATTTTCAAATGTATAGAGTAAGATTTTATCCTCAAGAGAAACAACAATTAACTATAGTTATATTGTTGTCTTCAGCAATCTGATCTACACTGTAAATTTTTTATAAATTCTATCTTTTGAAAAATCGACTTTTTCAGAAAGCTGAAAGATTTTAAACGTTATATGATTTGAAATTCTTTGATTTTCTTAAAATATACATTTTCAAAAAAGAAGAAAATCAATGACGAATCAAGAAAATTTTAAATGTTTACCGTTATTTGTGTATCTCTCACATTTTTTTAAAATTAAATTATATGATCAGTCCCCATTGTTCACAATCATCCATTATTTCCTCAGTCTAATAGATTTGTAAAGCGATTTTATTTTTTTTTGTTAATTTATTAGAGTTAGAGAAAATTCGTTCACTACGCTACATTATTTGTCTTACACTGATTACTTATGATTCTTCTTAGAACAAAATTGCTGCAATATAAAATTCTTTTTTCTATGTGCAAAAAATAGCCACATCTTAACTCAGACTATGCGATCACCTCGGATTTAAATCAGTGTTATGTGTACTTCAAAAAATGACAAGGGATATTCAATTTGTTTTTTATTTGCTCAAAAACAGAATCAATCGCATTCTCAAGCTTTGAAATTGGTCATAGCAAGGTCTTGTTTTTTGCTACAATGACATGCGTGTTGTATATCTTGCTCTAGTCAGTTTCATTTCGGATTTGATGAGAAGAAAAATGCATAAGAATAAAATGAAATATATACAACTCATTGAATATATCAGTCTGATATTATTAAAAAAATAAATAGTGGATCTGAAAAACTAACACATTCGATGAGATTATTGGCAGTTAATGCAATGATCAATAATAGTGATTATTTCCAAACACTTTGTAAAGTATTGCACTATTCATTTGAAGAACAGTTGAAAAGAGCTGCTATGGATACAATATGGGGTGGAGAAGTTCAAATTCAGACGCTTTCTATGGCTCTATCTCATCCTATGTATTCATATATTCAGTTAAACAACGATCCAAAAAATAGGCATTATATTTCATCGAGTATTAGTTTACAGGAACTAGTCGATCGGTTTATTAAAGAAACAGCAGGTGGTCATCTAAAATGTATAGGATACAATTCCGATAAGGATAAACTAGGGCTTTGTATTTACTATAATGGTAGTCATGATGATGCTCTTTCACCTTTTCGACATAATCCTCAACAATTTGTACCACACTTTGACATAATTAACATGAGTTTATGAAAAGAAACACAATTCAGCTAAAGCGAAGAAGTTTATGCGAATGAATAAAACTACTGGAACTAACTCCTCGCCGCGTTCTACGGGACAAAAAGAGGGCATCCGCAGGGCCTAAGGGGCAGTTCCTTAGTGCGCTCAAGGATGAATATTTTAGACAGTTTAATAATAATAATAGATTGCAAGGAAAAAACGCCGGCGTAATAAGCTAGCATGGGCCATACTGTATGCGACCATATCCGGTGATCATTGACTCTACTCTCAGAGTTATATAATATCTTTCGAAATCACAGAAATTGAGTTCAGATTCGTGTTCAGCTTGGAAAACTGGGTAAGAAGAGTTATTTTTGAATGGATTTGCGTTTGTATCTAGCGGGATTACGATCGTAAACAACCTCATGAATCTATAAAAGATATATGATAGATACAGGCATCAGTATTTTCCTAATAAATCACCTTATATTAATAGCTATCGAGTTCGGGTTTTAACCTTTCGATAGTCCTTTTGATTACCTACAAAACCAGTCATTTGGAAAACCCCAAAACACTACTGATCATCTGAGACATACGTATATAAGCAATTTGCTTTCTCGATGCAGTTTTTTTGCGTATTTTGAGACCTTTTGCAAGTAATGTTTCGTTAGAAAACTACAATTTGGTTCAAAGCTAATATCAGATTCAGAATTAGCGTTAAAAACTGAGTGGATTTATATATATTGTGAATAATTCTGGAAAAAATTTGGTTTTTGAAACATCACTGTACCCCCCTGTAACGACACTGTGTGTCGTTACTTGTGTTGTCGATTGTTTGGTTTCTGATTTCTGGTTCGCCTTTCGTTGTCTTTCTTGATACGTTAGTTCTTCGTGTTCTATTTCGATAAAAAGCTCGTTTCGCGTTGGCGCTCAAAAAGTTAGATTAAGTATTGTATATACATATAGTTTACTTGTTCATGTTGCATAAATATATAAGAAAAGATCTTAATTTTGTTGTTTTACATTGAGTATTGAACATACAACTGTAAACTCTATTCAATCACTTATTATAACTTATCAAGAGCATATTCACTAAATCATTCGAACCCCTTATTTTGTAACGAGCTTGCTGACTAACTAGCATCTCACTCCTCCCTCAGGGATGGTCTGGTCAATAGTGACAATTTTTTCGATAACTCAGCCATTACTTGACGGATCCTTCTCATCTTCGAACTCGACTGAGATATTGATGAGATCATTCTGTGTACAAAATTTCATGGTAATTGGATGAGGCTTTCAAAAGTTATCGTGCCTACGGCCGGCCGGACACACTGACTGATTCTAGGGTGTACTCACTTTTTGAGTACACAAAAAACGTTAAAAGAAAAGTTGCTTACTATCAGATGTATTCGATTCTAGAATTTTTCGTAACGACTCATTATTACAAACATGTGCTGGAGTTAATTTATCATTAGCTTGAATATCTTTATTGGCTCCCTTTTCTAGTAGATATTCTACGACTTGTGTATGATTTCGTTTTGCTGCCCAATGTAAAGCTGTCCTAGAATTACAAAAAAAGAAAAAGCGTAACTATTATTTTATCATTAGTATTAATTATCTCTTTCCTACCATCCATTCATAGCATTTTGACTGTTCACATTCAAATTTGGTTTATTACTTAACAAAGTTTGAATTTGATGTATATCCCCTTTACTAGCTAATTCACGTAATAACTCTTCATCGAGTTTTTCGAAATTCATTTTCGTATGCAAATTAAATTATTACTATTATTGTCTTTCATTCTTGTATATTTATAGGTTTTTACTTATAACCAATAAAATCCAATGGCTATACCTCCTTGAACTGTAACGAAAAAACATTAGCTATATATATGAAACTTAGATGGGAGTAGATATTGAATAGAATAATTGATGAAAATTTTTATTCACACTCAATCTGATTTAATCAGATGAAGAATTCATAGAAAACAATCCTTTTTATTTACTTATATAAAAAAATATAAATGTACATTTGTTGATTACTATAAATAAATTAATACAGAATAGCAGTATCATCTCTGAGTTTTGCTAAATGTGCTCTACGCATTAGTGTTGCATTTGAATATTTCGGTGTTTGAATAGGATTCTTTTCTAGTGAATCGTCATTTGTTAGTATAATCGATGATGTTATTGAACGAAAATAATCGAATGGTAATAGGTCAGTTGGTTGTCGACAACTTTGAGAATATTTTATAGGATTCATTGGTGGTTGTCCTTGTCTTGTAACTATACCTCGATTGAGTTCATTTAAAAAATGAAACTGTAAGGCGTTTAATTGTTGATAACATTGAAGATCTTTGATTGGATGAGATATCGAAGTAGATAGAGACGATGGTATATGAGCAGCTTCGCTTGTTGAATTAATATAACAACTAAATAGGAAAAGATTTTCTTAACCAATTCAAATATTGAATGAAAGTGAAACTCTTGAATTTTGTCCACAAGCAACTTCAATAAATTTTACTAATAGTTGTTTTAAGAAATTAAATTGTTAGAAGAATTTTTTAATTCTCGAATGAGGCGCTACTTTCATCCAGATAAATGATATTTTAAATTTAACATTTCCAAAAAAAAAGCAAAAATCTAATAGATTATTTAATGAAAGAGAGTATCTATAATTTGACTCTTTTTTTTGATTAAAAAACGAACTAATTATTTTCATCGACATTAAAATACAATTTATTGCATTCATAGTTATCTTTGTTTTTACGAAGAGAGTATATGAATTGCTTTATTTTACCGATCAAAATTATCAACTTTTCCCGCTGGTGATGTGTCTTCAGGATGCCATAGATTTGTTGTGAATGAAGATTCAAGAGGAGCTAATTTATCTAAATTTTTGACATTTTGATTGATTAAATGTGGTGGATTGAATGAAAACGAAATTGCCGAATCGTTTGTATTAAATCTTCGTTTTCTTTTTCGTTGTTTATTGCTATTGTACTTCGTTAGAGATATATTTTGTGAACGTTCATACTGCTGCCGATGTGGTATAGAAGGATTTTTAGTGTGATTTTTTGAATTTGATTTATGACGAACAATAAACCAAATTATTAAACAAATAATTACAATTATTGATATAGCACCAACTATACCAAATACAACAGCAATAATTATTTTATCGCGATCGTCCATTTAATCATAGAAAGGCATGAATATAAATAATAAATCTGAAAAATTGAGATTCTATTTACAAATAATTGTGCCTGAATCTGAAGACTTCTTTTTTTTTGTATGTTCTTCTTCTTGAGTAGAACAAGAGTATTAAATACTCAAACAAGAACCAGAAAGAGAAAGAGAAAAAAAATAAAAAGACGAACGATCTGAGCTTAGTTAATGTGTGCGACAGTGTATTATGGTGACACTTTTTCTCTCCTCGATCCGTAGGCGTACATTTTTAGAGACACTCTTCAGTGCATGTACATTCTTTAAGTTGAACAAATTTAACTGATGTTCATGTGTATGCGAGAAAAGTGAAAGACGGGACGAAACAATTATTATACCACATTAAACTATTGTTTGATGAATACAAATTAGAATAAATTTTCAATGTTTCTATTCGATCGAGCAAATAGACAACAAGAAACGAATAACATGTGCTAATTATACTCTCTTTTGATTTACGGTTTTTTTTAACGAAAAATTTTCTCTATTTAAACTGGCAAAGCAGCATGAGTTTATTCGAGCAATTAGTTTATTTATTTTCTCAATTTCTTTTTTTTTCTTTAAGCAAAAGAAATAACAAATACGAGTGAAAGCAAATAATAAAATAAGTAGTGCTCACAGAATGTCATAGATGTATTCTGCAAAAATCATTGAAGGTAAAAAGTACTGTACAACAAAATCAAATAAAAATGAGAAGAGAAAGAATTCATGACGAATTTTCTTTTCTTCTGTATCCAATCGTACGACTTAGGTCTTAACAAAATGAGCTTGACAGAAAGTTATGAGCTTACAAATCGTTACATAACGAGATACAAATGAGCAACAACATGAAACAGTTTTCAATGCTAATAAATAGCTAATTGATGTATTCATGATTGATTTTAGTTCGTATGTATCACTCATGTGACCTACAATATTGCTGTTAGAGTTAGCTTTTTTCTTCCCTGATAATGAATCATTTCTTCTTAAATAAGCAGAATCTATCTAAATTTCATTGTTTTGATATGTCCATCAACGAAAACATCTGTATTTTCGTTTCTGTTTGTTTACTGTTGTCTGTGAAAAAAATTCCATTCGATTTACTTTTTCTTTCATATTTCGTAAATTAAATTTATTCGGGTTTTTGTTTTCATCAAGAAAAAGAACATGAAAATTAGAAACTCAGAATCATTTTCTTCATTGGTCATTTTGTTTTTTATCATTGTCACATAGTTTTTTAACACCTTTTGCTAACAGTAGACCACCAAGTACACCAATAAGAGCAGCAGCTGCTGGCTTTACATAATCAGAATAATTAGTTTCATTCTTTTCTTCATCACTTGATTTTTGCAACTTTTTTATACGATCTTGAATTTGTTGATTGTAACCACTGGGACGTTCAGGAGTTGTTCTTCCATACTGTCGTTCAATTATATCACGTACAATATAATTTCCCGGTAGACTATCAATTGAATTATTGATTAAGTTTGATCGTCGACGGCATATTGGACCTATTATAATCAATAGGTAATAGATATGAAAATTTCAATGTATGAGGATATTTACAGTCAATTGCGTTGACAGTCTGCGATGTATTTGGCGATGATAGATGTACTTTTAGACAATTGGCACAAAATGTATGTTGACAATCGAGAACTTTAGGATCATAGAAGATTTCTAAACAAATTGGACATTGAAGAATATCATCAAGATTGGAAGCAGTAGCCATGAGTAATCTGTATTTACTAAGCAAAAGAAATACAAAAGAATTTATAGTAAATGTTTATTTTTTAAATATTTTAAAATGTTATTCATAGAGCAAAAACGAGCAAATAGTTTCGTTTAAGAAAACAAGTTTACAAAAATAAATATCTACTGGATTTGTGAGAAAACACTTTAACAGCCTCAAGATTTATTATTTGTATATAAACTAGGACAATTATCGATATTCTTTTGGCAAAATATTAACAAAAATGAGTTCGATTAACTGAAATCGAATTATAACATTTATGTGGTATTTTTAACAAAAGCTCGTAGCTTTACATGTTACAGCAAGGATTCAAAAGATACATCGCCAACAAGAAAAAAGTCAAGGGATATGAGAAGAAATACAATCAAAATTTTGCATACTTATCTCTTCTATTTTAATATTATGTGTCTATATGAATTGAGGATTAGGATTCAACTGTTTATTTGAATACGATGATAGGATTGGTTTTTTCTCATGTTGTTATATAATATCGATCTAGAAATGTGATTGAATGATAATTGAGAATTGCAGTAACCTTATCAATGATTAGTTTCTGACTTCAAAGCCTCCAGAGATGTAATAAATCTATAGGTAGAATGTTTAGACTATCGGAACAGAGCACACTACTTCATTAGAAAACTGTTTCGGTATACTATCTTAACAAATGCTCAGATTATTATTTTGTGTTAGACCAAAAAACGCGACTACTCTAAATGATAACTGTTATAAAACTTAATTTTCGAAATCATTCATTCAAATAGATTACACTTACCAAGAAAATTAATAAATCAATTGAAAGATAAGCAAAATAATTTATTTAGATACAATCTAAAATTATAAGAAAAAAAATTATATTCCGATAAATCTGACATGAAGAGAAAAAAATCAAGTGTAAAAGCATAAAAATCATTGTTCATTATCATTCGGTGGTTTCGAATTTTGACCACCAAGAAATCCATCATTAATTTTTTTAATTTCATCGCGGGCATTTTTAAACATTGTTGAAAGATTCTGTCCACCTGATGATTTATCAAGTATGAAACGACGTACAGCACCAAATGAATTTGCTGATTGTTCATTAATACTTGATAATTCAGCTGAACTATGACTTTCACGTAACGATGCTGAAAACTGAGACATATCAATTGTTTTCGATTTGACAAGCGATGAGCTAGTAGCATATCTCTAGTGAAAAGAAAATATGACGAAAACAAGATGCAACAGATGTTTTTTTTCTTAATGCAAAGCAAAACAACAAAAAGCAGCGCATCAATTTACCGTTGTCGATGTCGTGAAATCATTCATATCGTCATCTTCATCATCAAGATAATCATTTTGTGTTTTATTCATACGAATAACTAAAATAGAAATATTCGTTCTTGAATAATTTTCCTGATATAAAATATTTTCTATTGACCTGATTCATAAGCTGCAGGATATTTTTTATTTAAACGTATTTTTAATATCCTTAAATAATATAATATAAATAATAAAAACAAAAAAAGTGAATCGGCTTTTTTTATTACTTTATTCTTTTAGATATTAGATCGAGATCACTCTTCATTGTTGTTAGGATATGAATATGACTGGAAAAATCTCGTGTTGCATCTAAATATCGTTTTGCTGATATTTTATTAATGCCATCTAATTTTTCATTCGTCTTATCTAATTGCTCAAGACTTAAATTTAAAAAAGTTAGTAAAAAGAAAATTATCGAATTAAAATTTACAATGAACGTTGTACATCAAGTAAGCCATGGGAATCTTGATTATTAACTTCATTTAAAAATAAATTAACAAATGATAATGCAGGCGACGTAGAAGATGAAGTAGCTGTATTTGTTGACGAAGATTGGGATGAATCAACACTTACATCCATCAATAAAATAAACAATCTAAAAACATGATGACCTAAGAAACTTATGATACTTCGAAGTTAATGATCCCATATGAATTAAGGAAGAGAGCGAGACAAAAAACAGAAGAAATTAGTTTATCTAGAGGTGTAATCAACCATCAAAAGTTTGCTAGACTTAAGAGAATATTGTTCTGTTTGTATATTGTAAATGGATGCTTTTCTTCCCAATCCCAATTCAATTCTATTCAAGTTTAGATACTGATAAATCGTCATTTAATACATTTTTATCAACAAACATTTATATCCATACTAAAATATATATTAAACTTTACAATGATTAAATGTGTGCTGTAATTCACTTTTATAATGATATTTTATCATAAAAAACCTAACAGCCAATAGAAGATAAAACATTGCTATACAGCGACATCTACGGATACTAAAGAAAGTATAATACAATCTTGGAAAATTATTATTCAGGTTTATTTTCTGCTCCAATAAGCCTTAGCGAGAAACTAGAGTGAACAATTCTTGATGTGTGTATTAAGATGAGTGCAGCATCAGTTAACGACATCCATATTCCTTTCACCATACCATCTGATTCAATAGTAAGTGAATAATGAACATAAATGAATATATTGATTTAAATTATTTATCTAAATGAAATATTAAACAGTAAGTATTTTATTTTAATAAACAAATGTTTTTTCTCGGTTACAGAACGTGAGAGGAGAAATGAGAAAGTCCATTGAAATGGTGCACTGAGTACTATCAGAATGCGACGCTGATACTCTGCATCGGTTGTTGCCGAAAACGACCTAAAACGGTGCCCTTTCAGTTTTAAGGAAAGACGGATCGTAATTCGAACTAGCGGAAAATGATAGAAATGGGTGGTCTTTTTTGGATTGTTCAACAACATATCGGACACATTTTGAAAAAATCATGCTTATCTAGGCTGCAGTATTCCGGTCGGAAATTTTCCTGTGCTTTCAGGCAGGATACGCTGGTTTTTCCAGCAGTATCCGTTCTCTGGAGTCATTGACCTGGGTATTGTCGGAGGGAATAGTAAGCAAGCTCAGTACAGTACATTTTCGCACAGAAGCATGCTTAACTTTCACGAATGACACATAAAAACGACATGTTTGATACCTGTTTAGACGACCGACTTTGTAAACGTTTCGAACGTCAATAATTAAAAGACAAGGGAAGAATTCATGTGCATATAATTATTAGCAGATAGCGACTTTTTCTACGGTCAGACTGCATAATAAAATTCTTGATTGTGACACCAAATTTACATTAACGAATAGACGGAATCAAATAAAAAAGAAAAATTGTTTTCGCTCTTTCTCAAAATAAACTGTGAGCATGCAATAATAAGACAGTATTCAAGTCATGTCTTGAATTTCTACTGTTTTTTATACCTGCTCGATGATTAAATTATACTGTGATGCATAATTTTTCAATAAATGCTGTATAACCAATATGTAGGTATGTCTAAATGCTTCGTCATTGCGAAAAGAAACAGCAGTGTCCAAGGACTGAGGTTTAGGAATTCTTCCAATGCCTACAAGTCCCAGTCAAAACAGATAATAACTTCGAGGAAATGAGAATTGACCAACGACACCATCAAATATCCTTACTCATTTCCCTATCCATTTCTTCAAATTGCAAACCAAAATATGTAAACCGCAACAATACCCAACCTAAATGTCCTTCACATTCACCCCACACATCCTTACGATAGCTCAGATGATCATCACTATCCGGGGAACTAAATAAACATCCAGAACTGATCCTCTCTCCCTAAGCAGGGAAATGATATTGAAAATTCAATTTCACGGCACATGTACTACGTTACCCTGCAGCAAGCCATGCACAATACCGAAAAAATAGAACCATTGCAGTCTCATTGACAGTACCTAGCAATTGACCCATCTATCCTGAAGGGAAACATCACCGCAAACATCCAGTGATTGGGGC